TCCGGGTCTGCTCCCCTTCTGTAAAATGGAGATTGTACTTCTGCTTAGCTAACGGGTGAGTGTCAGGGTCAAATGAATGGATGCATTTGAAGGGCATCTTATAGTGTGTGAAGAACTATACCAGTACTGATATCAGGGAAAGCGGGGGAAACTCACATTTTATCCTCACCTCCCCATCACGCGGCTTTACAAAGTTAATTGAGCAAAGTTTCTGTTCCTAAGAAGTCCGTGAATTTCCAGGCCGCCGAATTGCCCTTTGACTTTGAAAGAAGCAGGTGGAAAACAAGGGCATGGGCTAGAAATGTTTTATTATCCGCAAAGGGGAGAACCAAGACAAGCATGGAAAAGTTTGAAACCTCGCTAAAATAGCTGAATCCCCAAGGAGATAGGGGACCCCCTGAGGTGGCCAAAAAAGTCTTCTGCTTATACTAACACTAGCAGGCGCTTGCTATTTGTAGTTGAAGAGCAGAGCAGGTTAGGGAGAAGAGATAGATGTAAGCCTGTGGTTCTCAAACTTATATGGGCTTCAGAATCCCCTCAAGGCCTTAATAAACCAGACTGCTAGGCCTGACCCCCAGAGTTTCTGATCCCTAAATCTAGGCTGGAGCCCAAGAATTTACATTTCTTTTTTCTTTTCTTAAGATTTTATTTATTTCAGAGAGAGAGAGAGAGCACAAGAGGGGGCAGGGCCAGAGGGAGAAGCAGACTCCCCGCTGAGCAGGGAGCCCTTCGGCTCAGGTCATGATTCCAGGATCCTGGGATCGAGCCATAAGCCCAACATCCTCAGGCTCTCTGCTCAGCGGGGAGCCTGCTTCTCCCTCTCCCTCTGTCTGCCACTCCCCTTGCTTGTGCTCTCTCTTTCTCTGACATATAAATAAATAAAATCTTAAAAAAAAAAAAATCAAGCTTGAAACTGACTGAATCGAAGATGGGGCCAGGATGCAGAGAGGAGAGCCTGGGAAGTACAGCTGGGAGAAAGGATGACACGGGTTTTTATGGAAACTTCTGGAAGCATGTTGTAATTTGAAAAGGTTGAGAACACTGAATTGCTAGAACTCAAAGCACCTCAGATAGGATAAGGGGTTCATTGCAGTTTGACCATAGTAGCTTAGTAAGATCTTTTAAAAAATTGTTTGTATGAGACATAAACACATACACTTTTCCCCCCTGAGTAATCAGGGTCACTACATTAATTAATTTGGGGGGACAGTTGTTAATTTGGGGGAAAGGATTTTAACCTCGAATGCCTGATCACTGCTATGCTGACCCTCGGTCTTTGTTAGATGACCTGTTTGCCCTCTTTTCTCGTACCTGGCCTCCTCCCTCCAGGGAGACTGGATTTTCTCAACAAGACTAATAAAGATGAAGCATGTCCCAGCAAAGCCTGGACGACTGGTCCCTCTACCTGAGCCATACACAGTATGTGCCCTGCGTGCGCATATCAGGTGCACACGATATAGTAACCCTCCCTGCAAGACCTCCTCCCCTACCGCCACCACCATGTTGTGGGTGCAGAGGGAGGGGAATCGAGCTCAAGTCCGAGGGAGCTAGAAGAAGCAGGAAATGTGCATGCTACCATTTCTTCCATTTCTGTCTTTGGCTAATGGGGCTGGAGTGGTGAGCCCCGAAATGGGGGCAGTTGGTTGTAGAGATGGGGAGCAATCAGGTAGATGGTCAGTCAACGACACAATACAAAATTCAAGATGGCCCCAGAAGACATTAAATTAGAGGCAGTACATCAGACATGGAATTGAGGGATGCATTCCATACTGCCTTGTCTGTTACTGTCGTGAAGAGTAGGTTCCTTTTTTATTTTTTAATTTTTTTTAAGATTTTTTAATTTATTTGACAGAGAGAGACACAGCGAGAGCAGGAACACAAGCAGGGGGAGTGGGAGGAGGAGAAGCAGGCTTCCCGCTGAGCAGGGAGCCCGATGCGGGACTCGATCCCAGGACCCTGGGATCATGACCCAAGCCGAAGGCAGACGCATAACGACTGAGGCACCCAGGCGCCCCAAAAAAGATTTTATTTTTAAGAAATCTCTACACCCAACGTGGGGCTTGAACTCACAACCCTGAGATCAAGAGTCACATGCTCTACCAACTGAGCCAGCCAAGTACTCCTTGAATAGTAGATTCTTATTTAGTTCTTCATATTCTATTGCTTTTCACTTAAATTTAAGTCAATTTCTTGGGGCTCCTGGGTGGCTCAGTCAGTTAAGCATCCAACTCTTGATGTCGGCTCAGGTCATAATCTCAGGGTCATGAGATTGAGCCCCACGATGGGCTCAGCACCGAGCATGAAGCCTGCCTGCTTAAGATTCTCTCTCTCCTTCCCCCTCTGCCCCTCCCCCCCCGCATTCACTCTAAAAAAAAAAAAATAATAATAAGTAAAATAAAAATATAAATCAACTTCTTGTGATCAAAAGATACAGCTAGTAATGTTCTGGGTCACTGTATCTTAGTGCCTAGCATAGTGGCTTGCATGTTGTAAATGCCACATGTGTTGAATCAATTTGATTTGAGGACAGTCATTCCAAAAAACATGCTGAACCAGGTTAGAGAAATAAGGGCTCCATGACTGGGCCAAAATTCCTATCTCCTCCTTCCATCATGAATCTTGGGAGGACGTGGGAACTTACTCAGGTTCCATAACATTCCTGGAAAAGAATGCCTTACGCACTTGAACTTCAAAAGGTTGAGGCAAGGGGCGCCTGGGTGGCTCAGTCATTAAGCGTCTGCCTTCGGCTCAGATCATGGTCCCAGGGTCCTGGGATCGAGCCCCGCATCGGGCTCCCTGCTCAGCCAGGAGTCTGCTTCTCCCTCTCCCACTCCCCCTGCTTGTGTTCCTTCTCCCACTTTGTCTCTCTCTGTCAAATAAATAAACAAAATCTTTAAAAAAAAAAAAAAGTTGAGACAAGAATGAATTACATCGTGGCTAAAATTACATTCTGACTCTACAATCACAAGTGGTCTAGTAACGGAACAAAACAATCACGCACCAGAAGGAGCTCCTGATGAGTTCAGATTTTTTTCCAAATGCATCTACACAATGGAAGAGGAAATAAATGTAGGTAAATACAGAAGGGTGGCGCACGCACACACACACACAGCTTGGGGGAAATGACAAATATAAAATAGGCCTTTGTTCTCTTGTTTTATTTTTTTTTAATTTGTTCATTTTAGGCAATTCCAGTTTGAGGACCAAGAATAAGAAAAAAGATATGCCCATCAATGGAAGCAATGACGGGCAGAAAGTAGATGTTTCTAACTCTCAATTTTGCTTTGATCTTTTCTATCAAGAAAGGAAGTGTTGACACTGAAACTGAATGAACAAAAGGAGCTAGCAGGGAAATGAAGTTCAAGTCAGTTAAGGAGACTCCCAAGGGCTCAGGCATTCCGACCTAAACAAATTACATCTCACGACACTGACACTGTTGACCAATGTGACCAAAAGCCAGACAGTAATCTTCAAGAAATTAGGAAAAGTGGTAGAGGGATGGGGACACATGAAACCGTCTTAATTTTTAAAAAGAAAAATAAGGTAGGTTCTGGAAACCGCACACTCATCACCTTGATGTTAACTCCCGGCAAAGGAATCCTAAAATAGTTTAATGGAGCAATTGGTGAGCATTTAGAAAATAAAGCAGCCAGCACCAATTAACCCACAGCGGTTTAGTAAAAACAAGGCAGGCCAAGCTGATCTCATTTTCTCTTTTGAGAGCATTGTGAGACAGGCAGAGCAAGGACAGGCAGACATGTCTTGATTTCTGCCTTTGGAAAAGTTCTTCCTGGTGTCTGGTGGATAAAGGGTTAAAAGTGGGCTATATTAATGTACACTTTTACCACCTCATAATATGTAACTTATTAAATAACTAAACCCAAAAGGTATAGACTGGGGGCTGCCAGATTCCATATTTGGCCCTCCCCTAATCAATATGTATCAACAAGATTAACACTTCAGAAGAAAAGTTTACCAACTCTGTAGGTGACACCAAGACAGGAAGGAGTGCTCCTCTGTTGGATGCAGAATCATGAATCAAAAGTATCTTAGCGGGCAGCAGTGATGCAATGAAATTTTAAATTCAAGTAAAAAAAAAATTAACTCAACAAAATTCAAATTTAAAAAAATCTGATAAAAAATTCAAATCCTACACTGTATAAATCCTTGGATACAAATAGAGGACAGGGTCTCTGGAAACAAGACAAGCGACGTAAAGAAATGGACCCTTGAGAAAGGACCAACAGCTATTAAAGAGGAAGAGAGACTTGCCTGACAGAGTTCATAGGAAAAGACCCAGCAGTTATGAAGAAAAGTGGGAAATGGAGCATGAAAACCAGACTACTTCCCTGGGGGATGTGTATGAGAACTGCCTCCAAATATTTGAAGGACTGTCCTATGAATGAGAAATCAGACAAGTCCACGTCTCGAGCTGAGACACCCCCTCAGAGGTCATGAGGACTAAGACTCGGACTCTGGAAAGACATTTCTTATCATTTTTACTATCCAAAAAGCAGATGAGCTGCTGTTGAGGTAGGGAGGTCTCAGCTGCATGACCCAGCCAGACGGAGTGGGTGCAAAGACACTGAGGGTTTAAGACATTGGATGTCCATGCTGAGGAGTTCATCATGTAGCTTATTCCCTTACCCACAGTACCCATGATGGAATGAGGAGGGCAGCATGGTGTGGTGGTTAAAATTTCCGCATTGGCCTGCCCAGGTTCAAATCCCAGCTCTGCTACTTGCTCGCCGTGTGAGCGCAATGACTTTGAGCAAGTTCACTGACATACACACACACACACACACACACACACACACACACACATCCGGGAACAGGGGTTCCCCATCTGCAAAATGAGGATGATAGGAGCCTCTACCCACAGGGGGCTGCTGTGAAGGTGGAGTCAACGGCCACACAGCATCCAGAACAGTGTCTGGGGGTAGGCAATGTAAAATAGAGCTTGCCATTGATTCTGATTACTCTGCCATCTTTTTGATTGCTCTGACATTCGCCTGAGCAGACAGGAGAATATCACTAGAAGATGAGAAACGGGGTGTAGGTGCCTAGGGCACACTCTAACAGAGAACAGCACAGCAGGGAGCAAAAGGGAAAAGCCAGAGACCTCTCTCCTTGTGCAGGGACCCACATGACTCCTAAAGCCAGCTACCACTGGCAGACATTTCCATCCCCAGGTCCCCCTTAAGATGCAGGCTTCTGCCCTGTCTCTGTGGTCAGCAAGAGTCTGGGGTCTAGGGAGCAGCCTCAGCAGAAGTTGCCATTGGCTTCTCAGGCTCCTCTCCCAGATCCATGATCCGGATGGCATTTTCCTTCTTGGAAAGCCAGAAGGCAGGGTAGACGGGCTCTGAAAACTTGCACTCAAACTTGTGAATCAGAGCCATGGCATCGGGCTCTACCCCATAGAAGGAGAGGATCCCCCCCAGAAAGTCCACGTAGATCCCCAGCCTCCGGAAAGGGCTGGCTTTGAGCGGGGTTTCCGTGTCGCTGTGCCAGGCTGTGAACTCCTTCCCGTTCCAGTGGAGGCTCCAGGAGAAGTTGTTTCCAGAAATGCAACCATTGCGCTCCTCCCCTTTCCGGTCGATGCCTTTGCAGGTCAGGCCAACGTAGGTGCCCGCCCCGGAGATCTCTACCTCGAAGTAGTACCTGTGCAGGTATAGGCTCTGTGGGGACAGCACCTGCCGCCAGTGCACAAACCTGCTGGGGAGGTCCGGGTAGGGATGCTCCCAGGGCGTGGTGTTGGTGACCTTGCGATTGTCCTCCTGCAGCCGGAGATACCTGTGAGCCGTGTCCGGGTCAAAGGAGATGTCACACGCATCTGAGGGGATACAGAGGAAGGGCAGGGAGGCAGGTCAGGAACGGACAGCTGCTCTGGACAGAACTCTTCGAACCCAGCCTGCCTCCCACGTATAAGAAAACTTCTCTCTCCTCTTCTCTGTTTACCCCAAGCCACTGTTCCCCCCAGAAAAGAGGTGAGCGAAAACCAGAGAACAGAGAACACAAGTCACTCTACTTCCTTCCTTTCTGAAGTTCCAATTGCTTGGCCTTGACTATGTGATTTGCCGAATGGAATCAAGAAATAAAACCGACTGATTTGTCATTCATTCATTCGGCAAATACGTACTGAAAGCTGGGCACTGTTCTTCTCGGTGTTGGCAAGGCCTTGTGGAAATAGGCACTAACATACCCACGCTTGAGTCTTTCTATTTTTTTTTTTTTTAATTTGACCAATATATAGATAGTATGGTAAACTCTCAACCATTCCCTCAAACATATTCTCTTCTCAATCCCAGGGAAGAAAAAAATAATGGCACCTCCATGCACCCAGTTGCTGGAGTCACACTAAAGTTATTTGGGAAATTTCTTTGCTCCCGTCCTCACCACCCGCCCCCGACGCACACACACACATACGCACAGATAGCTTCAAGCCCAGGAGATCCCACTTCCCGTCCCAACCACTGCTTCACCCCCAATCTAGTCCAGAATCATACAACAGGCTCCTTGCTGGCCACGCTGCTCTATCTGGATGCCCTTCCATCCCTTGTCCACCACAGAGCCGTGGAGCATGTTTCAGGGTGTAGGCTAAGGGAAATCATGTCACCCCAGCTTCAAGACCTTAGGTGGTGCCTCTTGGCCACACAATAAAGCAGTGACCCCTCACCCCAGCCTGCACGGCCGGGCATGACTGGCCCTTGCCCATGTCTCCAGCTTTGTCTCCTGCCCTCTGGCCCTTGATGGCCATGGTCCAGCCATCCTGGCCTCAGAAGCATGCAACACTGAGCCCACTTCAGGGCCAATCCCCCTGTGACATGGTCATCGCCCTAACCTGAGCCTGGGGGATTCCTACTGATCCTTTCAAATTGCAGCTAAGGGTTCATGTCCTCAAAAAGGCCCTCTGTGACTTTCCACCACTTTCTCTCAGAGCCTTCTGGCTTCTTAAGCGTCATGGTACTCCACACAATGTGTATAATCTATTTATTTGTTTGTTTTGTGCCTGTCTTCCTTCTAATCTATGATCCACATTTCACATGGGACTCGATCCTGGGCTTCTAGCTCAGAGAGGATGTTCAGTGCATATCTCCCAAATGAATTAGCATATTTGAGCCTATTTAAAATCCATTAATATAAAAAATTATTTTAGATTAACCCAGAGTTTTCCAAACTCCTTTGTGTCTAGGTAAGGAATATTCTTTTTTTTTTTTTTTCGTAAGGGAAATTCTTAGTAGTCAATGAGACCACTGCAGAAGGAAAAAAAGGACACAACAATCTAAGAAGTTAAAAGGAAAAATGAAGGAGTGCCTGAGTGGCTCAGTCGGTTGACGGTCCGACTCTTGATTTTGGCTCGGGTCATGGCCTCAGGGTAGTGAGATCGAGCCCTGTATCAGGCTCTGCACGGAATCTGCCTGAGATTCTCTCTCTCTCCCTCTCCATCTGCCTCTCCCCCAGATCTCTGTCTCAAAATAAATAAATAAAATCTTAAAAAAAAAAAAAGGAAAAATGAATGTGAACCGAGGTCCATAAAAAGGCATATAGGTGCTCACTTTGGCAGCATCTATACTAAAATGGGAATGATACAGAAATTAGCACGGTCCACATACACGGTGACAGGCGAATTCGTGAAGCATTCCGTATTTCTAAGGCAGTCAAAGGTACAAAGTTCCAGCTATAAGAGAAGTCCAGGGGATGTCATGTGCAGCGTGGTGATTATAGTTAACAATACTGTGTTGCATATTTGAAAGTTGCTAAGAGAGGGGATCTCAAAAGTTTTCATCATAAGAAAAAAGAATTTTGTAACTATGTGAGGACAGAGGATGCTAGCCAGACTTACTGTGTCGATCATTTCACAATATATGCAGATGTCAAATCATTACATTGTACAAAGTTATCTGTCAATAATATCTCAAAAAACTGTCTCAAAAAGGCATATTTTTTTAAAGATTTATTTATTTATTTTAGAGAGAGAGAGAGTGAGCACGAGGGTGTGTAGGCGCAGCGGGAGAGGGAGAGAAAGAGAAGCAGACTCCCCACCAATCGGGGAGCCTGATGCAGGGCTCAATCTCATGATCCTGAGAGATCATGACCCAAGACAAAAATCAAGAGTCAGGGCGCCTGGGTGGCTCAGTTGGTTAGGCGACTGCCTTCGGCTCAGGTCATGATCCTGGAGTCCCGGGATCGAGTGCCGCATCGGGCTCCCTGCTCGGCAGGGAGTCTGCTTCTCCCTCTGACCCTCCCCCCTCTCATGTGCTCTCTCTCTCTCTCATTCTCTCAAATAAATAAAATTAAAAAAAGATCAAGAGTCAGACACCTGAACGACTGAGCCACGTAGGCACCCCAAAAAAGGCACCCCCAAAAAGGCATATTTTTAAAACTGTCTGCAGCTCTATGTTTCTAAAAGTTCCCAACAGCATCAGTAGCAGACTTTTACTGACCAACTCCTTTGGCAATCCTTAGCATCCAGATATTGAACAATAATATTCTCATCTAAGGGGACCCAGGACTTCTTGGCAAGGAGGTGACTCTATGTCTTGGGACAAGAAAATCAGAGTGGGTTTGGAATATTCTGTTGGCACCAGAAAGCAACGATATTTTTCAGAATTTCAAGGGCAGAATGTCAATGTCTAAAGGAGAAAGAGTGGTGAGGGTGCCTGGGTAGCTCAGTCGGCTCCGAGCGGCCAACTTGTTTTTGGCTCAGGTCGTGATCTCAGGGTCCTGGAATTGGCCACACATCAGGCTCCGTGCTCAGCAGGAAGTCTGCTTAGGACTCTCTCTCTCCCTCGCTTTCTGCCCCTTCCTCTACTCTCTCTCTAAAATAAATACATAAATCTAGTTTAAAAAAAAAAAAAAAGCTTTAAAGGAGAAAGAGAGGCTCCCACAGGTTAAATCGGCAATTTGAGCCACACGATTTTGACAGGTCAAACAATCGGATTCTAAGTGTTTTTGTTTTTTTTTTAATTTGACAGAGAGAGACACAGCGAGAGAGGGAACACAAGCAGGGGGAGTGGGAGAGGGAGAAGCAGGCCTCCCGCTGAGCAGGGAGCCCGATGCGGGGCTCGATCCCAGGACCCTGGGACCATGACCCAAGCCGAAGGCAGACGCTCAATGATTGAGCCACCCAGGCACCTCAAACAATCTGATTCTATAAAAAGCTCGAAGTTCATAACAATAACCCAAAGAGACAAAGTTAATAACAGGTATGAAAAAAGACCTCTGTAATGCCAAAGAAGATAGGTTATACTAGAATATATTTCATTTTTATCTTAATGTCAAGAATAAAGGGTGTTTGGTTTCTTGTATTAAGCTGTTTATAAAAATACAAATGTGCTTCTGTCAGGAAGCAGGAAAGAATAAATAAAGGAAACTATGTGTAAGTGAAGAGGTCCTGAGAAAAAGTAGGAGCTGGGGCAAAAACAGGATATAGTCCTCGGACCCTGAGGCTCCATGTAAAAACTGGAGAAAAAGGGGGCCCAGCAGTTAGCCAACCAGTGGTCACCCCCAGAAAACAAGCAGTAACAGGATTCAACGGCATGTTCCAAAAAGATTAACTCGCCAAATGTCATAAAAATGAGCCTCAACTGCATAGATGCAGTCCTGCCTCATCCTAGAAGATGGAAGCATGTGGACTGGTTACGTACTGATCGAAAACACGGTGTTTTAAAACATGCTAACAGACCGGGTCAGTACCACATAATGACAGGACAACAGGTTACATAATTCTGGCCAAGCCAGACTTAAAAGGAAGTCATCTGGTAACTAGCCAGGAGCTTCCCAAGTGCCAAGCTCATGAAAGACAGACTAAGGGACCAGATCCAGACTGGAGGAGACTAAGGAGGCAGGGAAACATCTGTGATCCTGGATCAGACTTAGGGCCAGAAAAAGGACACTGGTTGGCACGCTTGGAGTAACACTTGGATAATTCTATAGATGAGTTAATAGCAGTGAAAAGATGTTCATTTCCTGGTTTTGGACGATGTACTGAAAAGTGTTAGCATTCAAAGAAGTCGGATGAAAGGTATACAAGAATTCTGTCCCTATTTTTTCAATGTCTTTGTAAGTTTGAAATTGTCTCAAACATGAAAGGTAAAAAAAAAAAAAAATTGTAAATATCCCATTTAGGGAGAGACCTGAGGTTGCAAAAGCCTGAAACTTAAGGAAAGATGGTGATCTTGTTCCAGCGAGCATTACACTAACATCAGTAAGTGGGTAAAGGAAGCTGTTTGCAACTTACATTGGAGGAACTGTTGCCTGGTGCTGGGCTCAGGTTTTGAGGTCCAATACTTGCGCTCGACAATAGTAGACACTTGAGTGCTGATATCATACTCCTCTAGAAAATCAGAGAGTTACGAATGCATACCTGTCCAGGTGGTCAGGAGAAACTAAGAAGCAGGACTTTCCAGCCACTCTTCCCTGGTCTCCCTGGGGGAAGAAAGGGCTGGACTCTAGTCCCGTCAGAGAGAATCATGCTCAATGCATGATTTCTCCATGGGTGAAACAAAACACGCCAGAGAATGATCCCAAACTGACTTGGATCTCACTTCAAAGTACAGACATTAGCAACCTCAGAAACTAGTCAGAGAAATTCGAGCCAATGGCAGGATGTAACTAACTCAACTTCTCTGGGTCTCAATCATAAAATCAAATCATCAAGGTAAGTGTCCATTAGCCACCTGTCTGGCCAAAGGATGGCTTTGAAGATGAGCCATTCCCCCTGATTTTGCCCTCCCTCCCTTAGCTCTCTCTCACTCTGAGAAACACACATTCCATAGCCCATGGCCCAGACAGTTTTCCTCACCTTCCTTGGAGAAATCCTGGAGCTTCTCCTTGTAGTTCTGCAGCAACTGGATTAAGTGCACCGTGGAGTCTGTGATGACCCTGCGGATGCCCGAGAGCTTGTCCTTGAGTCCGATGTAAACACTAGGGAAGGCACTGTCCTCAGTGTTCTTAAACTTGCAGTACTCCTACAGGAAAGGAAACATGGCAGAACTTGCCTTCATTTCTGAATTTCTGAAACTGGACTACTCTCATTACCTCACTTCCTGCATCTGTAAAATGGATTAATGGTAATGTGCCCTTCACAAAGCAAGCATATGTAACATGACTGGCTCAAGACCTAGCAACACAGGAAGTATTATTATTATTTTTTCTTTACAGTGGGCTTTTAAAAATCAAGAGACACATACAAAAAATAAACATAAAAAATAAAAATAAATAAAAATCAAGAGACACACACAAAAGTTAAAATTAAAAAATCAAAATCAAGAGACCCAAGAACAAGAACACATTGTATGCCAACAGTCCAAATAGCAACAGTAACATTCCTGCTACTTTCATTCCTTCAGGACTTTTTTTTCTTTTTTAGAATTTTTTTAAAAGATTTTATTTATGTCTTTGAGAGAGAGAGAGAGCATGAGTGGGGGAAGAGGAAGAGGGAGAGGTAGAAGCAGACTCCCTGCTAAGCAGGGAGCCCAACACAGGGCTCTATCCCAGGACCCTGGGATCACACCCTGAGTCGAAGGCAGGCACTTAACCAACCGAGCCACCCAGGCACCCCTCTTTTTTAGAATTTAAACACAAGACACATATGGAAGAGAGGAGTGGAGGAACAGGCGCAGCACTAGGAAGACCCATGAACAGACCCTCAGGCAGGAATGCTGCCTTTGCCAATTGTTACACAGTGCTTTAGAGTTTGAAAAGTGCTTTCAGGTAGATAATCATATGAAGTTGCTTAAGCTTCAGAACAAGGCAGTGATCAGGAAAGGTTGCTTTCAGATGCAACACAATATCAAAATCCAAACTCAGCTGGAACATTGCAGGGCAGACCGGAGAGAGCCAAAACCTTAGCAATGGAAAGAAAATTGTACCAAAATGGTTAGGCAGATTAATGGAAGAGAAGAAAAAGGCCAACCCAGGGAGTTGATAGATAAACATTTTAACACTGCATATAGATTTAGCACCATACCTGAGAAAAGTGGTATTTTAAATCAGTGGGGGGAAAATTATTTAATACGTGTTGTCATTTCAACTGGCTCAAAATTTGGAGAAGAAGAAGTTATCTTTCTATGTGAATAAGTTATGTTATAGAAAAATATGTTTTATACATATTAAAGTTTTTAAGTTAAAGTCCTAAAAGGAGAAAAGAAAAAAGAAAAATTATATATGTCCTCTTTGGGGAAATTCATGATGTGGGAAGCCAAGTATTCATTCACATTTTCTTTGTTTTGATATTGAAAAGCAAGGGAACTGACAGAAAGAGGGACATTCTTGTATTTTTGTCTGTCATTCTCTGCCTGCTTCTCTTTCTCTCATTAAAGGGGTAACTATGGTTGTTTGGGGTGGTAGGAGTATGGATGATAGTTTCCTTCATCTTTCCCTCGTTTTTCAAGTGTTTTTTCATAATAAACATTTATGTTTGTTGTAACTAGAGGGGAACTTTTTCAAAGGTGCAAACAAAAAAAATTATTTGTATTTAGGGATATTAGAGCTGAAGGAGCCTTGAAAGTTATTGACTCTCTGGGCGCCTGGGGTGGCTCGGTCGGCTAAGTGTCTGCCTTCGGCTCAGGTCATGATCCTGGGGTCCTGGGATCAAGCCCTGCATGTTGGGCTCCCTGCTCAGCGGGGAGCCTGCTTCTCCCTCTCCCTCTGCCCCTCCCCCCCAGCTCATGCTCTCTCTCTCTCAAATAAATAATCTTTAAAAGAAATAAAGAAGGAAAGAAAGAAAGAAGAAAAGAAAAGAAAAGAAAGCAAGCTATTGACTCCGACCTGATCGTCTGATAAATGAGGAATTTGAGACCCAGAAAGTTTAAGTGCCTTGGTTAATTACTACCCAGCTATCTAGTGACAGATCTGGGATGACAGGATTTACACCCGATCCCTGCAAGATTACATATCCTTCAGATCTGGCTCTAATGGCATGTGGCTTAGTGTATACTGACTTGCCCTGTAATGAAAGGTCTCTGCCGAGGGGCCTTCTCCATCAACCAGCTACACACAGCCCTCTCTGAAAGGCAAGAGGTCTCCAGCCTCACCCCTGCCAGGCACACGGACCTCAGCTCCTCACTCCCCCACCCGAAACCCTCCACTGGCATCCGTCTGTGACCTTCCTCACCTCCAACCCTAAGTGCCCAGCAGCCCACGCCCCATCCTGGTGAAGGCACCTTATTCCCCAAAGAGTGCTTTCTGAAACGTCTCTAGCTGTGCATAGGCTGTTCTCTCTCTTTGGACATGACATACCTCCCATAACCCAGTTCCAACCTCCCACTCTGGGAAGTCTGGTCTTCCCCTCCAGTATTCCTATATTCTGCTAAAACCTGCTTCTGTCTGTCCCTGTGGCTCCCCGTGCACCCCATTTATCAAAGAGCAGTTCCATTCCCACATTCCCCACATCTGCCACAGGCCTAGCCAAGTGAGGGTGCTCCCTGACTCCTGGCCCGGATGCCTCTGCCTCTGCCTCTGCCCCTGCACTCCCCCCCCCACCCCCACCCCCTCACCTCTAGGAACAGGACGGTGTTGCTGATGGCAGCAATCCTCTCCAGCTCATGCCTGCTCTTCTCCATCTGTGCGCTCCTATGCTCCAGGTGCGTCTTGATGCTGTTGGCCTGGCTCAGAGCAGCTTGCTCCTTCTCCTCCAAGAAGAGCATCACATCGGCCTGGGCCTTCCTCATGGCAGCAAGCAGCTCCCCAAACTGCTCCTCAGCCACCACCTTCACCTCTGACACCGACAGCTGGTGAGGGAGGGGGCAGTGAAGAAAAGGTTAGCGAGGCATGCAACATTCTCGAAGCTCAGCACACAGCACTGTAAAAACCCGAGGAACCCGTAAGTTAGGGAGCAATTTTCTATCATAAAAGGAAGATTTTGGGGCGCCTGGGTGGCTCAGTCGGTTAAGCGTCTGCCTTCAGCTCAGGTCATGATCTCAGGGTCCTGGGACAGAGCCCCGCATCACATGGCATCGGGTTCCCTGCTCAGTGGGTAGTCTGCTTCTCCCTCCCTGAATGCCCCTCCTCCAACCGGTGCCCTCCCTCCCCCACCCTTCTCTCTCAAATAGACAGATAGACAGACAGATAGATAGATAAATAAATAAATAAATAAATAAATAAATAAATAAATAAATAAAATCTAAAGGTACATTTTATTCTCATACGAATCCTGGGATCCTGAAAAAAAAAAAAGGATTTATTCTCCAGGGCGAATTTACTTATTCGCCATCATCAACTTCATCTCTCATACATTTCTGAGACCGTTGGCAGCTCTGACAGTCTGGGGTTACGATTCAAGTGTCTGAAATCAATTCTCCTACCAGGGAAATGCATGTATTCAGTACACTCGATAGCTAGCTTTCTTGCGGGACATTAATAATTTGGCTTTTTGCACAAATTGGTAGCATGAATTCGCTGTCTTGGCATTTCATTACATCAGGTTAAACTGCCCACCAAGTCCATCAGAACTGAAAGCAAATTATACGGTGTCTCTACCAGGCACAAAATGTTTTAGGGGGTGGGTAGGTGGCCACGGCCCCTGAGCGTGGCAGGACCACAAACCTGTGCAGGAGGAATGTGTTGTCCAAATAAAATAGAAAGCAAAGTTCGGGTGATAAACCCTAAGGGTTTGCATGATGCCATTTTATGCATGTGCATGTGTACTTTGCCCTTTCACAGGACAAACATCCTTTATCCCTGCCTTCAGTCAGTATCATGTTTATAACAACAATCCAAGTGTAAATGCTTTCCTCTGTCCTTTGGTAGTTCTTAAGGACTGGTGCTGACAGTTCCATTGGATACTTCCAGTTTAAATTTCATCTAACCATCTTGGACACACTTTCCTTTGCTCACACTCCCTTCACCTCATCCCACAGACCAGAGTTTGTTCTCTGCCTGCCTCAGTCTCCCCCATTGTCCCCACCCACACCGATCCCATCTGAGAGCAATTCGAGCAACCCCTCTAGATGCTGTTTTCTGATCCTCCTTCCAAGAGCAAGGGCCAGCCCTGGGCATCCACAAGGATCCCAAATACCAGATACCTCAGAGGCTGAGGCTGCTAGGGCACCTCTGTTCCCTGGCAGGAAAGATGGGGAGGGAAGGAGGAGAATAAGGGGGGCCTGGAAAGGAAAGGACTCAGAAAGGATGGCACTCTGGGCCCAGGATATGTGAAAGCCTTAAGGTTTAGAGGGAGATAGGAAGAAATGATGACTCCAGGTAGCAGGACCTTTGCTTGGCTGGGGACACTGCTCAGCCAGGGCCCAGGAATGCAAGCCCACAAGAATGCCTAGTGGTGGCCCAGTCTTTGATCTGCTGGCAGAGGAGGAAGGAGTGGGGGAAACGAAGCAAGGGGCATCTTTACTGGGCGCGGGGAGATGGGTAGAGACTCTCTACACTTCAATTTTCATGCCAACTGCCCCATCACCTGTTGGCTTCCGTGAGGTTGGGTCAGCTGAACAGAACTGGAAATAAATGAGCTGGTAATGGGGACTAAGTAAGAAGGAGATGGGAGATATTCCCCAAATTCCTCAAGGCCAGACCCAGAAGAGCCCATGGAGAACAGCACCTGTCATGTAAGTGCCCCACATTACATTTGTCATCCCTGAAGCATCCATTTCCAAAGACATCCATCTGGAATAAACATATTGCCGGCTGTGTGACAGCCAGGAGCAACACAATCAGATAAGGAATGGGGCCACCCCCACTCAGGAAGCTCCCTCTTTCAGAATTCCCTGGGGGATCTAGATATCTGACCCCTGGAGTGATCCTGCTTCTTCCTGAGCCCGAATTCCTGCTCTTATGCTTTAAAGAAGCCAACTAAGAATGTGCCCATAAAAACCTAGACACCTACCTTCAACCCCAATAAAGGCAGACGCCAGGTCTGTACTTTCTCCCTCCCTATCTGTGATCTTGCGGTATGGCTGTGTGGCCCTTGGGCAGTGTTCTGTGCCCTCCAGGACCTTTGAGTAATAAATCTTGTTCTTCAAAATGCCCTGAGAGTTTCTTGCTGACATGGGTCCTGCAATCACAAGTTTCTCATAGAAGCACAATACCATGAGGCTGAGAAGCAGGAGTCTAAAGAGAGACTTCAGGGTCCAGATCCCCTCTCTTCCACCAAGGCCCTCATGAGGAAGGGTGATGGAAGGAGGCTTCAACTGATGTTGGTGGGTTGACGCTTCCACTTTCAAAGGTGACCTCTCGTGCCTAAACTGTTTCATGGAGAAATACTTGTTCCTTGCATGTAAATGGAATATGCAAAGGATATTATTTCCTCCCCCAAATAATGACAAATAAAGACTAAAGAGGGGAGGAGCCACAAGGATATCAAGGTATCGAAGTTAATGGTTTAAAGAGACTGAGGATGGTGCCCATGCCTGTAAATGTCCTGAGTTTCTTTGTTTGTTTGTTTGTTTTAAAGATTTATTTATTTATTTATTTGAGAGAGTGAGAATGAAAGAGAGTACATGAGAGGGGGGAGGGTCAGAGGGAGAAGCAGGCTTCTCGCTGAGCAGGGAGCCCGATGCAGGACTCAATCCCAGGACTCCGGGATCACGACCCAAGCCGAAGGCAGTCGCTTAACCAACTGAGCCACCCAGGCGCCCAATGTCCTGAGTTTCTTAGGTTGAGGGAACAACAATCCCAGGTTCCTGTTTCATCAATCTGGGGGCCCCAGACAAGTCTTGTCATCTCTTTGTGTGTTCATGTCCCTTGTACATGTTGGCTATTGTGATAACTACTTCCCCAAGTTACCACACAATTATGAGAAAAGCTGAGTAGGGATCAGAGTGTCTGAAAAATAAAGGGCTAGAAAAGAGGTAGAATGCTCCATGTGGTTCTCTAGATTATCTTGAGCCTAGAAATCAACAATCTCTGAAGGTTTATAAGACTTTAAGGGGACAACTATTTTTCTTCTTTTCATAAGATGATGTGGGTGCAAAAGAGGTGTTGATCTTTCAAACCTAGTTAGTTGTAAACACTAAGAAGGAGGAAATTAAGTTGAAATGGAAACATATATCAGATATGGATGGATGGATGGATGGAAAGATGGATGGATGGGTGGGTGAATTCAAAGATGGATGGATGGATGGAAAGATGGATGGATGGGTGGATGAATGGAAAGATGGATGGATGGATGGATGGATGGACGGAAGGAAAGATGGAGATTGGTGGATGGATGGATGGATGGATGGAAAGATGGATGGATGGAAGGAAGGAAGCAAGGAAGGAAGGGTGGATGGATGAATGGTTGGAAAGAATCATTCATGGTATGCAAAGATGCTCCTGCTGACTCACTACCATAGCTTAGGTGTTTTGCATTCTTTTTTTGGTGATGGTTTGGCTTTCCACTAATGAAAAGTATTTGTGGAACTGTTTGGGTCTACTTAAGAGTTTATATGGAAAGCGGCCATAAACCAGAGAGACTAAAACCAAGTAGCCTGGCATACCAGTGGCTTTATCAAGTTACCATCCACTAATCAAGCAGTTCTCCACTCTTTTTTCTGGCTGCCAGGACACAGGGCTGGTGACACTCACGTGCAAAACACCCTCCTATGATAGAAGCCCAAACTCTGCATGATTCCTAGATTTCTAGCTAGATGCCCCCTCTACTCCCCCACACACGCCTTTTCCCTGGCCAAAAAAACATATGCAAATGTAAAAACAAGAATGCTGTTATTACAGGACAGATCCTCCTCCTACTCTGTACCATTAAAAAGTAAATCACTTGCCATTTTCATAGCAAAATTTCATAGCAAGACCTGACAGCGATGTGAGGCCACCCTGTTGTGGTTAGGGTTAGGCTCATATCTCTACCTACAATTCTCATTTGCCAAGAAACCCCAAGGAGCCCATGGACACAGAGGCTGGGCCTGTGACCCCGTGTCCCACAACCCCAGATGGGCCTGGCTGAGCCTGAAGCAGCAGCTCAGGTGTGCTGGTGCACGGCAGGTGACCCAGAGCAGCCTTACCAAAACGGATTTGTGATTGGCTTGGAGCCTGGCGATGGCGTTTTCATTCAACCTGAGTTTGCGCTCCAGCTCTAACCGGGTGTCCCGAAGCTCAGCCTAAGAAGAGGGAAGAATGGCGTTAAGGAGTGCACACAGAATGTCCCCAGGAGTGATGGCGCTATCTGCTCTTCTCGCATGAAAAGGAGAATTTGACCTTGGGAGCTGCCTCAGAAGCCACCTGGAGGGCTCTAAATGGACACAAAGGGTCAGCTGTGTGCCGACACCTCCTGGGGCTGAACTCAGTGTGATCCGCTGAATATACCACGAGTTGTGCGGCGCGCTGGTCATCCCTTCCAGCATTTAGATGGATTACCTCCTATCACCCTGACTACACCCATGTTAGCTAAGTACCGTTATCCCCATTTCACAAATGATAACAATCAAGCCACCTAATCAAGATCACATAGTTCAACAGTGGAGTCCAACCCAGCCAGTCTGCCCCCAAAATAACCTAACAAGCTGGAGCCAAGGGTGGGGACCCCAGCTTTTCTACTTAGCAGCTGATCCTTTGGACAAATCTACTTAACGTCTCCAGACTTCCATTTCTTCACCTGTGAAATGGGGATAACCAAAGCACCCAACCCATGGGGTTTTTGTGAGGACTGAACGAGATAGCGTGTGTTAATGCAAACTTGCTCCAGTAGCTGGAACACTGTGTGCACTCTACCAACGTCAGCCATCATGGGGGCCCTTCTTCTTGGTTACTGCTACTGATGAGGGAGCAGAAGGCTAGCTGAAGACAAAGCATAAGCTGACACCCTGCAACCTCTCCCCCACCCCCCACTCCTAGGTGGGACCTGTGTGACATTCTTCCAGGGATCTCCCAACTATCTTAATATTAATACCTTGCTAGAGGGGAAAACAACCTTAACTTGACAATGGTGAGGCCTCAGGTGTCTTGCAGGCCTGTCCTCTTTAGCATATGAAAGTTCTTTTGAAACCTCTCTTTTCCTTACTTCCCCCAACTCCCAAGTACATCATCACCACTCCTCAAGATCCCAGGGCAGCAGCTCTTTCTGCCCACTGGTCCTGTCCCCGTGCTTTAATAAACCACCATTTTTGCACCGAAGACATCTCAAGAATTCTTTCTTGGTCGTCGGCTCTGGACCTCACCCCATCGAAACTCACCTATATTCCAAAACCACATTACTACCATGGCTGCTTTGCATCACACACTCACCACTCCCGGAGGCAGGCAGAGTTGGCCCTCCCGGCCTGGGCAAGTACCTGCCTGAGAACCTCAGGTTTGCCTGCTCTGACCCCACTGCCTTCTTCACCCTTCCCTTTGGAGACTCCCTAACACTTTCTGCCAAGACGTGTGCCAAGGCATGAAGCCTAAACCTCTGCAGCCTTCAAAGGCCCTCCAAGGGCATGAGTCAGCAAAAAAAGAAAAGAACAGCTTTAAAGGCTTTCAATAGGTCATATCAGCATCGGAAGCTGCATGTTTGCACCCTAAGGGGACTCAGAGGGCATCAATGGTATCTGCTTTTTCCCACCGAAGCCTGGGGGGAATTCCAGGCCCCCTAGTGAGGGTAGCCCAGGCTGGTGGCTCACTCTGCAGAAGGCAGGTAACTTCTTAGTTTTGTTTTGTTTGGCTCAGGATCTCGGGTGCTGACTTGGCGCTGAGGGAGCTCTGTGCCCCCACCCCCACCCCGAAACCTGTTTGGGGGTAAGGGGAGGGTCTGACCTATTTGGGGGCAGTCGTGGAAGGGGGGAAGGGAAAGGGTGAAGTGCTTGTTTAAAGGTGGTGAAGGGCACAACCGAACCCACCCTGGCAAGGGTCACAGGCAGCCCCAGCAGGATCCAGGGACATGGGGAGATTCCCAGGGAGGAGCCAGGGAGGGGGCACTCTCCCTTGCCTGTAGATTGCCATAAAAGGAGAAAAGGACTCTTGAGTACCAAATGGGGACCTCTCTGAGTGAGTCACCCCAAGGGGAAGGCACTCCAGATTACCACAAAAGGTGGGGCCGCTTTGGGTGACCTGTATCTCCAGTTATTCCTGTTCCTAGAAAATGATGGGGTGACTCAGGCTTTGGCTTTAGAGTTCCCCAAGATGCCAGCTATACACATGTCTCAGGCCAGGGTAGACTCGGCACAAAAGCAGGAGAGTGGTGCCAATGAATGCAGACAGCCCTGTATTGAAGGGCATGGAGGGTCCTGCCTACTTTGCAAGGTAATGACAAGTGTTGTGCCAAAGGCACAGTATTTGGGGTATGAAGACCTGCCATTGCTGGCCATCTGATCTCTATCAAATCACTGAGCTTCTCCTTCTGGTGCATCGGGCACAGGAAGGTGTTAATATAATTGTTCTTGCTTTTATCTACAGGGGAAGGTGGTACCAGAGCTTAGGGGTCAGACTTGGGGTTAGCGATGCAAATAGGAACAGTAGAGGGAAGGAGAAGAGAGAAAATTCTAGGCAGTCCAGGTTCCTATGTTGTTCCATCTGCACAACAGTGGCCCTTCTGTAGAGTGCATTTGGTAGACTAGAGTTCCACCTGGACTGACTTCATTCCTCAGCCAGTTGGTCAGAACCTAGCACATGCTGTCCAGTCAAATAGGACCCTCCCTGCTCTTGAAAGACATATAGCCTGGTAGAATGTGTAAGAAAAAAAACAAGTTATGTAATACTGAGTCCAAGGCATTCCTCAGCACTTCTAGAGGAAATTCTTTTCCTGCGTGCCCTCAAATCATCCATGTTGTGGCCACCAGCAAACGGGCTATGAACAATGCTGGTTAACTGCTCCCCAGAGACGCGTGAATACCTGCAGCTTGCAGAAACTTGGCTCCTGCTCTACAAGAAGACTGTGTCCCCAGGATGCTTCCAGTCCCGAATCTTCTGGAACTGAGGCTGAGGCTGCATGTAGTGTGACCCATGATCTAAGATAGATCTTCCCACCTCCAAGAACCCTGCCCTGCCCTCACTCCTGCTGACAACTCCCTCCTGGACCGCGTAGCAGTTCTGTTGCCTCAGCCCTTGGGCACTCCAGGGAGCCATGGAACTTGCCTTGGCTTCCTCGTTAGAGTCCAAGCTCCCTGAGGACAGACAGTGTGGTCTTACACTGAGCCCAAAGGAAGGAATCGATGATGTCTGATAAGCTTGAGGAAGAACAGGAAAAGAGCCACTGCACTTCCAGGGTCAGAACAAACAAGGAAATGGCCAAAGGAGTCCAAGTTTTATCAGGCACTGCATGCATGCAAGCATGTACACAGCAAGGCCAGCTGATCTGAAAAGCAAAGAGGCCTTAGGAAGCTGACCTGGGGCAGAGAAAAGTCCCCATCAGGAAGAGCCGGGATCTGGTAGACCCGCAGGATAGAACATGTATCAAAGAACACCCACTTCCCAAAATCCAGAGGTTCTGCCCACTGGCATAGCTAGAGACCAGAGAAGCTTCAGGAGGGGCTCCCTTGGTTAACTGAGAAGTATGTGGCTCTGTGGATCTGATGCAGGATCTCAGCTGCTTTGTGTCCTCGTGACTGACACTGCCATTTACACTTTCTTACAACGACATGCCTGCTTGACTAATTAGCCCTTAACACGATGCAAAGTGACCTTCAGTGAGTCACTCCAGCAGGGTGGGGCTAGCTGACGGGGATACGAGGCTTCTGGAGCCTTCATTATGCCTATTAAAACTTTCACAATAATCCTGGTGGCATCTGCAGTCTCATCAAGTCACCGTGTCTTCTGGGCTGGTCTCTTGGGCTCCTTGAGAGAAACTTTTTGGCTCCTGAGATTTGGCAGAGCCCCCTAGAGTGTGGCTGCACTTACGAAGGAAACTTGCTCTTCAAGCTGAAAACAAGGACACAGGAAAGAAATGGCGAGAGCTCTCTTAGGCAGAGCAGAAGGGCGGAGGTATTGAACTGGGGCCCTCACCAAAAATCTGGGGTGTGGGGCTGTTGGATTGTACCTGTGGCCATGACTGCTTTTCAACACCAAAAATAGCTCTGGAGCCCCTTACCCAGTTTTTTGTTTTACCTTACACAGCTCTCCCCGAGGATGCCTGAATTTAGGGTTCCATATATGCTCTGCTCAACTCTTCCTGCTCAGAATTACAATTACCCTAACTCTCTGCCATGCAGCAGTTTACTCTGTGTTTAAAATCCATATTGTATCCATGCTGGTCTTAATATCTCTACTATATGTGTGGCAGGATTTTGGTACCAAAAAAAAAAAAAAAGGAATGTTATAATTTTGTGATCTTAGGGTCCTTCACCCATGTTCCCCATGTAGGGTGGCTTTCCAAAAGCTTCCATTCTTCACCCCATGACTTAGTTGTCTGTTGGAGTTTGGCAAAATGTGAAGATAAAAAGAATTGCCACCCAGTAGAGTTATCTGAGGAATGAGAGTTATCTGAATGAGAAAATCCACAGAATGCATTTGGCACAGGGCAATGCTCAGGGAGGACTGTTTCGCTTAACTCTGTCGAGCTTTTCCCTTTGACCGGTCCATCTGTTGATACAGAGCCTCTCCATGGTTACGGAAGAGCATTATACTGAGCCTTATCCTGGTCATGAGTGGCAGAGAATTGTTTTCCTGACAGGACATTTCCCTGACGCCGGAAACCTTGGAAGCAGTTGACAAGTGGCTCCCTGCACTGGGAATGGTGACTCATTGGCATCTGGAATACAGAGCTTTCCAGAACAATGGCCACTAACACTGGATAAAATCTGTGCCTAAGAAAGGACATGGAGGAGGGGTCCTGGTGAATACAGTGCCCTTCCCAGAAAGCCCTTCCCTTTGCTGCCCAGGATCATTGGACGGAGGAGTTGTGGGGCTCCCGCCCTGTGCAGCACAAATAGGGACCTGCCGACGGGATGAACATAAAGAATGTGGGAGAGAAGTCAACAGCACTGCCCTACTGAGGAGGAAAAAAAAAATGCTCCTGAAAAGTCAAAGTATGAGAAACAAAGAATACAAAGGAGCTAAATCCATTCCCAAGAACTTCCCCATGCTCTCTCTGCTTTAGGGCAAAGAAAAGCTGGTTGTTCTAGAAACAGTTTCCCTATCTGATGGGAATAAAATTACAGGCTCTGAGCATGGTGTTTCTTAGTCCCTCCTGGTACCTCTATCTGATGAGGAACTTCTATTTTCCCGAAGTTAAGCCGTCCTTGACATTGTATCTGGAGGTAAGTTTTCAATTCTAGGCTACCTTAGCTTTTTTTTCCAAGCTCTCGGATTTCACTCCAGATACCGCTAGAGGAACACTTTCTACTGGTCTCCCGTTTGGGGTAAAGGGGAAAAAGAGAAAAATTTGGTGAAAGGTTTGATTTTTTTCTCTTGAGTTTCTGCCAAGGCTTCCATTTCATTAATTGCCACACAGATCCAGCCAGAAGGAGACGTCACTGCCCTAAGCCCCAGAACTCTTGCACCCCACACCCAAACACGTGTCCATCACCAAAGGCGGAGTGACAGATAGGAAGCTAGCAAGAATGAAGTGAGACAGGCACACACAGAGATAGTATAGGGACAGCCGGATACAGGTGGGAGCAGAGTGACCCACTTCAGTTTCTAAAGCCAAGTGCAATAGATATCTACCCTGGACGGACAGCCAGCAGGTACTAAGGCTAAAGTGCTTGTCAGGACTCAGAGCACAGAAGTGAAGTCGGGGAGCCCCAGGAGCTGCGGGGGTGGTCCAGCCTCTCCCTGGGCATGCCATCTCCTCCCCTCCCTCTCCTGGATGGACCCCAGCACTTGCCTCCTTGTCCCTGCGGGCATCATCCAAGGAGACGGAGGCGTGGCCCTTGTGCTCATCCTGGCCACACTCCTGGCAGATGCACTGCCCGTCGGGGCGGCAGAAGGCGACCAGGGGGCTGCGGTGGGCAGGGCAGGTGCGCAGGTCCCGGTCCTTCACAGGCTCGGTCAGCTGGTGGCTGTGCAGTTTGCTGTTCTCCTGGTGAGGCCGCAGGTGCTCCTCGCAGTAATTCACCATGCAGGTCAGGCAGGACTTCACCGCCTTCACCCTGCCGGTCCCGAGGCAGAAATCACACAGGATCTCCGCCTCCCCCTCGCCGTCAGGACCCCCCTGCCCTACAGAGCCGCTGCCCTGTCCCTCCGTCTCCCCTTGAGAGCTCCCCGGGGAGCCCGTGTCTTCTTCTTCGGCCGGGCTGCCCGACCCGGAGTCTGGGCTGACAGTGGCAAGAGCGTGAGTGGCGATCCCGGGCAGTGGCCCTGGAGCCATCAGATCCAACTCAGCCATCTGGAAGACTCTGGCGCCGGAGCCGTCCTTCCTCTGCCCCTTGGCCCAGGAGCTTGTGCGGCCTGAGCCAGACTAGAAAACCACGCCTAAATGATTGCAGCTGTCACGGGAGTTTAACTGTTTCCGCCCTCCCTCCCGGAGGAAGCTCAGTTAATCATTACTCCGCTCCGGCCTTGGACGGCCCGCCGGCTGCCGTGATGACAAGGCAGCTAGGTTCCTCGGGCTGAGGACGGCCGCTCACAACGTCTCCCCAGGGGCTCAGGCCCCTGGTCGGGTCCAGCCCTGAAACTTCTATTCCTGTGTGAAATCATTCGCACCCCATAGGCTCAGCCGAAGACCACGTGGTTCGGTGGCTGCTCTGGAAAGAATTCGAGACTCCCGAGGTCGGCCGTAAAAAGCCTGCGTTGCTTTATGGGGCTTAACGGGCTACATTTTTTTGTTTGTTTGTTTGCCTTTTTTAAAGGGATCTAAAATGTAAGGACTTCAGCGATAGGGCAGCCCTTCGTCCCTTCCCATCTCATAGAACCGGACATGGGGCCATCTAGGAAAAGGAAGATACATGCCCCTGACCCTGACCTTGTCCATACCACCTTCTTGCAAATGGGTGTTCAGCGGGGGATCAGAGGATCAGGGAAGAACGTGTCTCCTTCCACATAAAAGTTCCATTCAGGGGCGCCTGGGAGGCTCAGAGGGTTAAGCGTCTGCCTTCGGCTCAGGTCATAATCCCAGGGCCCTAGGATCGAGTCCCGCATGGGGCTCCCTGCTCGGCGGGGAACAGCCTGCTTCACCCTCTGCCTCTCTCTGTGTGTCTCTTATGAATAAATAAATAAAATCTTTAAAAAAAAAAAAAGCTCCATTCAGACAGCTCTCCCAGGCTATGAGTCCTGCCCGTGGTTCCTAGAAAGAGGCGTGTACCAAGAAACAGTCCCTTTGCCCACTTAATAAGGTGTTTCTGGACACAGTGTTTAAGTTTCCTTGTGCTACCATAATAACAAAGTACCACAGACTGGTTGACGTAAACCACAGAAATTAATTTTCTCACAGTTCTGGAGGCTAAAATCCAAGATCAAGGTGTCAGCGGGGTTGGTCTCTTCTGAGGTCTCTCTCCTTGCCTTATAGATGGCCACCTCCTCCCTCTGTTTTCACATGGCCTCCCCTCTGCGTCTGTGTCCTGATCGCCTCTTCTTATAGAGACACCAGTCATACTCTGGATGAGGGCCCACCCTAGAGACCTCCTCTTAATTACCACTTTAATTGGTAATCGATTGTCTCCAAATACAATCACATTATAAGGTCCTGGGGGTGAGGAGTTCAACAGATGAATTTGGGAAAGAAAGACCCAATTCAGCCCAGAACACATGGCCAGAGGACAGGACAAGAAGCATCTAGCTCCTTAAAAAGAAAGGAGCTCCCAGGCATCACCAAAGGATAGGGATGCACAGTGTGCTTAGTTTCTGCCAGGTGGGCACCAAGGGACCCAGGATGATTCTAGGGTGCCTGGACCCCAACATCTGCATCCCGGAGAGGTTCTGCAGCTTCCCCCGCACCCAGGATTTTTTCAGATATACCCAAAGGGATTTGGAAAGCTTATGAAATGGGCGCCTGCGTGGCTCAGTTGGTTAAGCGACTGCCTTCGGCTCAGGTCATGATCCTGGAGTTCCAGGATCAAGTCCCGCATCGGGCTCCCTGCTCAGCAGGGAGTCTACTTCCCCCTCTGACCTTCTTCCCTCTCGTGCTCTCTATTTCTCATTCTCTCTCTCTCAAATAAATAAATAAAATCTTTAAAAAAAAAAAAAAGCTTATGAAATGGAGAAAGAATGGGGGAGGGGGCCCTGGTCCAGTTCATCCCTGGGATCTGGGGTTGAGGTGGCTCCAAGACATGGCACTCCCCTGTGGCTCTCCACCCCCTCACCCCCACCGCCACCGGGCAAGCTCTGCAGGATCTGGGTTAAACCAGATAAACCAAGGGACACTTCTTGTCGCTGACCAGGACGGTCCAAAAATACAAGACCTCTAGAGGCTGCTCAAAGTTGGAGGGCATTAAGTCTGTAAAAATCTATCTCAGCTCCAGCCCTGTCGTATTTTCAACGTGCATAAAATATTCATATAATGATTGCCTAAAAGCAGCCTTTCTGGGGCGCCTGGGTGGCTCAGTCCTTGGGCTTCTGCCTTCGGCTCAGGGCATGATCCCAGGGTCCTGGGATCGAGCCCCGCATTGGGCTCCCTGCTCCATGGGAAGCCTGCTTCTCTCTCTCCCACTCCCCCTGCTTGTGTTCCCTCTCTTGCTGTGTCTCTCTCTCTGTCAAATAAATAAATAAAATCTTTAAAAGTAAAATAAAATAATAAAAAATAATAGCAGCCCTTTTTAGCAATATGAAGCTCCCTAAGTGTCCCGTCCTGAATGGTGGGGCCTGCTGTTGAAGAGTCCCCCAGAAGACGTTTCCCTGCATTTAAACTCATGGTTTTTAGATCTTCAGCCAGGAGGGAAAGGAGCTGGTTTCTGCAGGCTCACACTGCTCTCGGGGCTTTCTCCAATTATAGCAGATGGGGCTGCTTTACCTTTCCATCCCTTTTTCAGAATGACCTGGTGCTAAAGCTGAGCTGGTCCGCCCACAGGCACAGAGTCTTTGATCTTTCTGCGGAGGAGGAGGGAAAGTGGCCATAGCCTCCAGGGCTGATCCGAGGACACTAAAACCATCTGGTGTCCACCTGGCCTCTCCCATTCATTCCTTCATCTCATTCCCATGCTCTCTCCTTTCATGAATTTTTTCCCCTGCCGGCCCCTCCTCTACTGCCAATCCTATAGGGCAACTCCCGGGCATCCTCGGACCTTCTCTGGTTCTGCATGGGGGAGCCTAACCTAGCAGATCGTCCGCAGCAGCATGGAAAACAGGAAATCTGAATTTCAGTCCCCACCTGGCCTGAGAAAAAAAAGCCTTTGTCCCCACAACACCTGAGTTTCCCCACCCATAAAATGAGCATGTCAGCCTCATCAGGGCTAGCAAAGAGATTCCTGGTTTGGCTCTCGGGGCCACTGTGTGGTCTCTGATTGCACGTCTGAGCTCCTTGGGAAAGTGGAGGCCCTCTGGAGGCCCACCTCTAGCCTTCTGGGGACCACAGAATTCGCCGACCCTTCCAGAGGACAGTGGTAGCCCTGAGCTCTCTGCCTCTTCTTCCAGGGGATGTAATGTGTCTCATCGTGACGCAAATACCCTGGTTCAACACTTCGGCTCCAGAAGATTGGGGCGAACGGCGGGCGTGTCTTTGAAACTCGAAATCCCTGTTGCACCAAGCGCCCTACAACCATCACCACCCCTGCCCCCTGCTGCAGTCCAGGGGGCCCCCAACATTCTCAGTCTTTCTCAGTTCCCTCTGCTTCCTTGACTTAACAGAGGTTTGGCTTCCCCCAAAGTTTCCTGCCACCTCTTGGCTGGCGCTCCTCCTTCTCTCATCCCCTACAAATGACAGAGGCGAGGCGGGGTGGGCGTCCTCCTCACTCCCGATGCAACGTGCAGACCGTCCCCCCCAATCCAGCTGGCTCCCCTCATGCTCATCCGTCTGGCCTCTCCCAGCCTTCCTGTCAGGCCCCTTACTCAGGGGAGACTGCAGCTCCTGGACCACAGCCTCTCTCTCCACCCCAGCCCTGTCGCCATTCTCAGGACCTGTACCTCTGCACGCTTCTCGGGCCACCCCATTGCCGAGGACCTTGACCTCAGCCACCCACCCTATGGTCACATGTGGGTTTTTTTTGTTTGTTTGTTTGTTTTACTGTGGTGAAATACACATCCCATAAAACTGACCATCCTTAACTGTTTTTAAGTATACGGTTCTGTGGCGTCAAGTACGTCTGCACCGTTGGCGGCCATCCCCGCCCTCCATCTCCAGAGCTCCTTTCCTCTTCCCCCACTAACAGTCTGTCCCCATTCAAACCTAACTCCCCATCCCTCCACCCGCCCCCCCCCCAGCGCCTAGCAGCCACCCCTCTACCTTCTGTCTCTATAAATCTGACGACTCCAGGTACCTCATCTAAGTGGAATCAAAGGGTAATCATCCTTCTGTTTTTGGCTTGCGTCACTCAACTTACTTAAGGTCCCCACGGTTCATCCACATTGTAGCAGGTGTCGGAATTCCCTTCCCTCTTCACACCTGGATTTTGCATTCGCCAGAAATCTCTATCTCCAAAATCATGCATTGGTAGTTTTACTCTGACTCTCCCTGCAGTTCCCTTGCGTAAATGCAAGGACGGGAGGAAAGTGCCTCAGGTCCAGCGTGCCGCCAACGCACAGCTCCCCACCAGTTCTTTTTTGTCATCTTTCCCCTCCTGTCTTCATGTTCCTCTTACCTTCTTTTAAACTCCACGGCCCAGCGTAAGTGTGGTCCCCTTCCCGCCCTCTGTCTCACCTTCCCGGCAAACCCAGAATGCTCCCACCTTCCCTGAGCCTGCACCTAAATGCAAGGATCGCTGGAGCAAAATCCCCAATCACCCAGAGAGGCACCACTCTAAGTTCAAGATAGCGATGCTCCAGTGGTCCCAATATTGCACAGCCCCGGTGCTGTGTTTTTCTAGGGACGCCCTGTCTTCCCTCCCCAGGGACCTTCTCCAACGCTCTTCCTTCTTCCTACCTCCCCTTTGTGCAGAGGATCTGGGCTCGTGCTTTCCTGTAAAAAAGAAGCCACTACTCAGGAAGTCGCTGATGTCCCCATGACCAGCTCGACAAAGGTGTCAGCATCTGTCGCCTCTCCTCCTCCCCCTGCAGTGGAAGCAGGGTGCCTAGTCCTTCCCCAAGTGTGTGGGACTCCCCCGTCTTCTACTTGCTTTAGCGGGGACTCTGCCCCTTCAGTTATGCTCCTTCCTGCACCCTTATTCTGTCCCTCTCCACTCGATCGCTCCCAGCAATCTGCAAACATACTCTTGTATCGTCCATTAAAAAAGTTAGGGAGGGTCTTGCTTAATCCTTCCAGCAGCAAGAAGTGACACCAAAGTTCTGGCTACCATTCCC